TTATGACCTCTACCTAGTCACTAACGGCAAGCATGGAAAGAAGATCGATGGTGTCTGGAACGGCATGATTGGTGAGGTAAGAGGCGGGACAGAAACTGCGGGAGAGGAATCTGAGGATCCTAGGGACAGGGGCCAAGAGGAGGGCATTCTGGAGCAGAGGGCGTGGCCAAAGGAGACTGCTGGGCTTGGTAAGGGCATCTTCAGGGGTGGGGCCAAGAGAACTGCAAATTCTGAGGCAGTCAGAAGGGACTTTGGAGAGAGGACTAGAAAGGTGAAACTCCTGGGGTGACGGTAGGAGGGTAGAATTCATGGGGGGGACTTTTGGGGGTGGAACTCCAAGAAAGGGGCGGGGGGGGAGGCTGGTTCCCCTGCCCTTAAGCAACTGAAGCGGACAATAGGTGGGGTAGAGGAGACCTCTTCTGTCCCTGCTTCTGCTCTCTCTCCCTTACCTCCCTGCCCCTCTGTTCCCATCCTCACTCATCAACCAGACCTCCTAGTCTGTCTCCCACGTCATCACTGTCTCCCAGGGTCAGGCTTTGTCCCCTGAGCTGCTTCCCTTGCCAACTCCTCGATCCACCCAGGTGTTCTATCAGCGTGCGGACATGGCCATCGGCTCCCTTACCATCAATGAGGAGCGGTCCGAGATCGTGGACTTCTCTGTCCCCTTTGTAGAGACGGGCATCAGCGTCATGGTGGCACGCAGCAATGGCACTGTGTCCCCCTCTGCCTTCCTCGGTGAGCCAGCCAGGACAGGGATTCACACTTAGCCAAGGCTGGAACAACTGTCTCCAACAGTGTGGGCCCTGAGTCCCGTCCCAGTTCCCTGTGACTCCCATGAAGTGACATCACTTCCAAGCTTCTGGATCCTGATCGGTACAATGGGAGAAATACCTTCCCTAGCAGAAATTTGGGAAGGAAGCCCAGGGAGCCTGAGCTCAGAAGCCTCCCTTGCAGTACCTTCCCTAGCTCTGATCCTGGGTTTGCACTCAAGTTGTTTGGATTTGTTTTTTTTTCAGACAGGGTCTCTCTATGTAGATCTGGCTGTCCTGGAACCCAGAACTCACAGAGACCCACCTGCTTCTGCCTCCTGAGTACTGGGATTAAAGGTGTGCCCCACCACACCTGGCCAGATTTTTTTTTTAATCTAAAGATTTGTTTTTATTTTATAGTCATTGTTGTTTTTCCTGCATGTATTACTGTGTGAGTGTGACAAATTCCCTGGAACTGGGGTTACAGTTGTGAGCTGCCATGTAGGTGCTGGGAATTGAACCTGTCCTCTGGAAAAACAGCCAGTGCACTTAACTACTGAGCCATCTCTCCAGTCCAATTATATTTGGGGGGGGAGGGGGGACAGGGTTTCTCTGTGTAGGTCCAACTGTCCTAGAACTGACTCTGTAGACTGGGTTGGCCTCAATCTCTCAGGGATCCACCTGCCTTTGCCTCCAGAGTGCTGGGATTAAAGGCCAGCTGATTTTTGGTTTTTTTAAGATATGGACTTGCCTTGAATATGTAGCCACCCTTTCATCTCTGTCTCTCCCTGTCTCCTGAATTTGAGGATTTATATTCTTTTTTTTTTTTTTTCCTAAAGAGGGCCCTCCAAGGCCAGGTATACCCAGTCTCAAAAATGTGTAGGGCTTTTTGCTTGTTTGTTTGTTTGTTTAGTTTTACCTCAGTGCTGGATATTGAAGCCGGGACCTGGAGGACTGTGGTGACTAGGACAGACAAATTCTTGTCTCCTAGGTGCTGCCTGCCTCCTTGGGGGATAGGCTAAATCAGTTCCAATGGTAATAGATACCATGAGAAATTAGGCTGAGATGAAGACAGAGAGGCATAGGGTGGAGGTTGGTGAGAGTGGTAGACGCCTTTTTGAGGAAGGGATTTCGTCTTTGTAAAGATCTGAAGCAAAGAACATTGGAGACAGAGGTGACCAGCATGGAGGGTTTGAAGACTGAGACATGTGTGACTGGCCTGTGTGGCTGGTGAGGAGATGGGTAAGAGAGGTGGCCAGAAGGCTGAGGGGTCATAGTATATCTTCTGGACTGTGGACACTCTGATAGAGAGTTTGGGCTATATTCTTTCTGTGGTGGCAAGGGCTTGCCTTCAGAAGGTAATGAAGAATGTATGCTCAGATGTGAATTGCTGATAGCTCTGTGGAAGCAGGAAGCTGGCAAGGGGGCTGCTGCAGAAGCACAGCGGCAAGGTCAAATGCTGGATTTGGGGTGTGATCAGGAAGCCACATTGTGGTACACTGGGTAGAAATACCATCTCTTGAGCAGGGACAACAGAGGTGGACAGGAGGTCAAGGCCAGCAGGTCATGTCAGTTTCCCCTTGCTCTTGGCAGTCTGAGCAAGGCTCCTCAGAGAAGAAGACAGAAGGAGAAAGATCCCTTCCTCTGGGGTCCATGAGGCTGGGGAGATGGTCCCAGAGAGAAGACCAGGCTTGCTCCTCACTAGCCATGGGGATGGGGAGGACAGGCTCAAGGAGTTTGAGGGACAGGAGCAAGGAGCAAGGGCAAAGTTTGTCAACTATGAATAAGGACAATGGATAGCAAGGAGTGTGGCCTGGGGCTAGGTTGTTGTGGCTGCCATGTGGCAGGGTCTGGGATGGAATGAATGGCCCTGAAGGAAAGCTGGAGAGGTGGAGACTCAGGTCCTGGGCTCAGGAAACACCTAGTAGACATCTAATTTAGGAGGTGAAAACCACAGAAGTGGCCACAGTAGCTCTCTTTAGGAAAGATTACCACAAGGAATCTATAGGCTGTCCCTGAAGTAGGGACAAGAAAAGGCAACAGAACAGGATGGAGTCAACTGGGCTCTACCTGGTCCCCCAAGCCCTTGCTTGGCTGACGCCTCCCGTGTCCCCAGAGCCCTACAGCCCAGCTGTGTGGGTGATGATGTTCGTCATGTGCCTCACCGTGGTCGCCGTCACCGTTTTCATCTTTGAGTACCTCAGTCCTGTGGGCTATAACCGCAGCCTGGCCACGGGCAAACGTGAGTCCCCTTCCTACCCGACCCTACAAAGAACTGTATTTCCCAGTAGCCTCTGGGGTAAAGCTAGGAATGGCCGTCCTTTCTCCTCTCCTGAGGAGTGGAAGGTGTGAGGTTCTTTTCCTGTCCTGGTTCCCCTCAGGCCCTGGTGGCTCTACCTTCACCATTGGGAAATCCATCTGGCTGCTGTGGGCCCTGGTGTTCAACAACTCGGTGCCAGTGGAGAACCCTCGGGGCACCACCAGCAAGATCATGGTTCTGGTGTGGGCTTTCTTTGCGGTCATCTTTCTTGCCAGCTACACAGCCAATCTGGCTGCCTTCATGATCCAGGAGGAGTACGTGGACACCGTGTCTGGACTCAGTGATCGAAAGGTGTGTACAGGAGGCAGGGCTGACTTGTCACCTGTCCCAGAGCAGAGGGGTTTCTGGGAGACTGCCCAAGAGCGATCCCAGAGCAGTAGAGATGGAATGTTTTGGAAGGAGATGAATGATTTAAATCTTCCTGGGGAAAGACGGTGCCCCCCATGTCCCAGGAGCAGCAATGCCAAATAGGATTTTCTAGACAAGTGCCTCCTGCACACTGTAATGAAGACTGAATTTGTGGCACTGCTAATCCATTGGAGACTATGATTGAGTAAAATATATCAGTAATGAATTACTAGAAATGTAGAAATAACACTTAACACCAGGACATACAGGAATCAGTCTCAGGCTAATGATATATGCCTATAATTGCAGCCCTCCAGAGGCAGAGGCAGGAGGATCATGAATTCAGGGACAGACTGGCTATATAATAAGTCCCTGTCTCAAATAAGAACAACAATAAAGTCAACTCCAAATTTTTACTGATTAGATTCAACATCCGTAAAACTATTCCATCAAAACATTCTAAACACCCACCCTCCAGCACTCTTGCCTTGTGGTACCCATCCACAGTACACAGGGGTAGCAGCCATGAGGGACACTGTGAAATTACAATGGCTAAGCCAGTATCTCAAACTGTTAGAGGGTTGTGAAATAGATGCAATAGGTTGCATTAAGCACTGCTTTCAGTGGAATGCAGGTAGAATAGCAGAATAAACAGAAAGTGTTTGTCATACCTTATATAGTAAGGGAGTGTGGCTGTACCAGCACTGAGCCACACCCCTGTGGCTACATTTGTGCTTAACACACGGAGATATTTCTGAATAGACTGGTTAGTCCACTCCTGATCCAGCAAATTAAGGGCTGGCTCTCCAGAATGGGACATTTGATTGGGGGTTTCCTAGAGGGTACCTTAACAATTCCCCGTTCTGTTCCAGTTCCAGAGGCCCCAGGAGCAATACCCACCCCTGAAGTTTGGGACGGTGCCCAACGGGTCCACAGAGAAGAATATCCGTAGCAACTACCCTGATATGCACAGCTACATGGTGCGATACAACCAGCCGCGAGTGGAGGAGGCCCTCACACAGCTCAAGGCAGGGTCAGCGCAGACTCGGGCAGTGGGGCCCCTAGAGCACTTGGGAAGGGGTGGGGCTTGTGTCTGAGGTCAGCTTGGGGCAGCTCACTAAGGGGGCCTGGAAGAGTCAGGGCTTTTGTGCTTTGTAACTTTAGACACTTGATTCAATGCCCTGAATCTGTTTCTTATGTGTACAGTGAGCATCACAAAGGCTTCTCCTTGATGTAAGAACAAAGTTTGGTCAGGAGTGGTGGCCTGTGCCTTTAATTCTACCATCTGGAATTAAAGTGGTGGCAGCTCTTGGTGTGTTCCAGGCCAGCTGGGATATAGACTGAGACCTGTCTCAAAACAATGTGGCTCTTTGTAGACAGATTTTTCTTTGGGCCGCCAGCTCACATAAAACAACATGGAGACATTATTAATTATGAAAGTTCAGCCTATAGCTTAGGCTTGTACCACTAGCTCTTACAACCTAAACTAACCTGCCTTTATTAATATCTGTTTTGCCATGTGTGTTTTTACCTTAATATTGTTATGTATGTCCTACTCCCTCCATGTCTCATTGGCAACTTCTTGCACCTCGATTGTCTCCTCCTCCTTCCTCCCCTCGCCCCCCAA